AAATACCATAGTATGTGAAATACATATCAACTCCAAAAAGAAAAGAAAAAATTAAATAAAATTGGTGCAACATTCTCTCTAGCTAAATTTGTTTGCTTCCAAAGCATTAATCCATCCTTTGAAGCTCCATATGAGTTGTTTGCTGCTTCTCTTAAATAGTTTGTTCACGATATTATATCTTCAGTCTTCGATCCTCACTATTAGTATAACGCTCCTATTACTCCAACCACTGCGGCCTTCCCACACATCTTTTTATTTCCTACCACTTACAATATATGCAAAAACATATATACTCGTATTCCATATGGCTATTGAGCAGCAGCTTCGGTGCCACATATGTGGCATGTGGCAGATATATGAAATTAGCATGAGTATGTAAGTAATAGCATACCTGCCTGTAAATTCCCCAATGAAATATGAAACTGAATGGAAATTAATGCAAGTTTGATTGTCGCACATACATACATACAAACATATATGTATATGTACAGGCATATATGTATGTACAAGCGCAAGCCATCAGCCCAGAGGCAGAAACTTAAGCAGATGTGTACCATGATGCTAGGAATTTAGGTGAACAGAACACCTGTGAGTGAGCGCAACGTACATACATATTTTATGCGATAATGTGTGTGCCATGAAAAATTGTTTAAAACTTTTTTCGCAGGTGCAAAAGTTGTTGCGATAATTTTTGTTTTTTCACTATTAAAAATTCATTGATTTAACATGCGCGTTTATTCTATTAAATTTCCATATATTAAAAGGTTTGATTTATGTACGGGGCATTTTCAGTTTGCGACGTGTCACGGAAACGGGCCTTATGGATTATCAGCGAAAAGTGTGGCACTCACCGAAACCGCGTTGCGTTAAACAAATACATACAGATGATTTGCGGGTGAGTACTTTTACTGACGTAAGCGAAAGATAGTTTTGTATTTAGTTGCTTTGTAGGTAGGATAGTTTTTTTCTTTAAATCATTGTAAAAGGAAAGCAACCTCCAATTAACTCAAAAAAGTGAAGCGAGAAATATGAAAGGATAAGTTTATCTTATCATTGTACAGGGTGCAGAATAAAGTTTAAAAATGCATAAAAATAAATTTAAAACCTTTAGTTTCTTAGATTTTAGATTAGCATGCAAAATCAAATCAGGTTTTGACAAATAACCGAAATAACTATATTTGAACAATACTATCATTGAGGTGAGTCGATTTTATATATTTAGATCGGACACTTCAGAGGCCAAAAGACAAGAAATTGGAAAAATGTCCTATAACTAGGAGGAGTTGAATCCGGTATGTACATTAGGGTGGTCCTTAAAAATATCAACATCTAAACTTTGTATGAGGCACTGTTTATATTGTTCTATGTAGAAAATGACTACAGAAGATATGGAATAAATTAACCGACGAAGACTTGGTGTTTGAAAAGCTTGAACAGTTTCCCCTTGTCTCTAGGGATTATAAGTAACTCTATGCGCAAGATAAGCTAATTAAACACCCCAAAGGTTAGCTGGTCTTTGGCGATATTTTCACCTAAAAAAATGAACAAGGCAAGACTTCATTTCTGAATCTAAGCATTATGAACTAAAAAGGCCTCAAATAAATCAACTGGACATATTTGCAGGGAAGACAAAATGGACTGTAGCCCATATCGCCACAACTAGGTATGGAGGCCGCTAATAATTGAGACCAGAAAGTCGTAAAAGAGGGGCGATTGATGAAAAAAGGGTCACCGTATTTCTTGCCTTTCTGTACTTATAATAGAATAAATCTAAAGTTTTATCTTTAATAAATATGTTGCAAATAAAGAGACAATTTTATTTTAAACCAAAGGATCGTTGTTTACGTAACATACATATATCATGTACCAGTAACCATAACAGCAAAATTCAAAACAGGGTTGCCAACATACACAGAAATCGAGTTTCTGCAAAAAAAAAGTTGCATTTCTTTTAAAAGTTTTAAGTTATATATTTATTTAAAAGCATTGGTTCAGATAAAATTTCCTAAAATAATCTCTGAAAAATGGACATATTTTGGAAAAGGATAAAAAATCAAAAGTCGGTTCAAAGGGTATTGGCGGTTTAATAGGTTCAAATTGCCCCTTTAGTCATACAACGGCAACACTGCTTGGGACTCTCTACTATCACTAGAGTTTTTACATTAAAATCCTTTAAAAAAGATAATTCTTTTACAGTAAGTGCCACTTTAACAAGAAATTTAAGTGACAAGTTACTTTTCCCTTTTGTCAGTAAATTTTGACTGTTAAACTAAAAATCCACTTTCCAATGTGCAAAGAATTTAAGCACAATTCTTTGTGCGAAATTCATCTTATTTTGGCATAAATGAGTACATATATCGATAGATTTTTATTCCAAAATTACGATATCTTTTAAATATTGATATATATGATTATCGAAATAGTTAGAGCTATATTTCCGATATTTTAGCTGACATAAATGCTCACTGAAATCGTTATCGATTGACTATTGATATATTTAATGATACCATTGTCGATATACTTAACGATATAATAATTAGCATATGCATTTATCGATGCTTCATGTCGTTTCTCTATAATTTTCGTAATTCGTATCCTGATTCGCAATTGTACTTATTCTTTCCATAAATATGCACAGCACAACTTAAAAATTTGCAAACTTTTTTTAACAGATAAGGCAAGCATAAAACTACGCCGCCATCTATTTAAATATAAGAAATTTTACTACCAACTAATCTTCACGCACTCTCCTCATACTAATCATACTCCTTTTTTCTTTCCCACACACACACACTCGCGCGCACAGGTGGACTTACAAACCTTTGCATCAGCACTTTTGGTTCTTATCTTTGGCTATGCAGTTAGTTTACTGGCACTCAGCATTGAGCTTATACAACATAAATTATGGCAACGCTACGTTGATGAGGAGGCAGCACGAAAATAAGTCGAAGGAAATGAGTTGGTTGGTATGCGTAGCTGTGGTCGCCGCTACTGTCTGCCACAGCAGGCAGTGACAATCCACAACAGTGATATTTTGCAGAGCTGCCACGTACCACCTATGTATGTACTATGTACCTACCTGGGACAGTGACATCTAAACAAGATACTAAATGTTATGTAGCACACCGCTGCAGAAGCCACAGCCAAAAATTTGCACGCCCGCTACAATAGCGCCCCTGCTACATATCTAGTGAGTTCATAGTTTTCTGTATTCGTATATCTAACTACGTGCGATGCTCCAGAGCTTCACAACCTGTCAGTGTTGCAGGCTGTCATGCCGCTGTGGCTATATGATAGCTACAAGGAACTACATACATAGAAGGCTACCTAGACTGCTGATATGCCTATACTTAAAACACAAACACATACTCGCACTTAACAATGCACAACTTTACATTACTTACTCTCAGCTCTGGCACTAATGCATGCCTTCAGTGGCTTTGGCTGCCGTACCGCATCGGTAGCAGCTTAGACACTGAATGAGTTACCGTCACGGGCGGTGACATTGACGTGCTGGACGCTGAGACAATATGGTTAATTGCATATTTTTAGCTGCACTACAGCAGGTGGCGATAATTCAACCGGGATGGCGTATTAAATTTGGTAGCTGATAATAATCTAGCTTATGCTAAGGATGCTCGCTGAGCCTGACAGGATTTTGTAGTGTGTTGGATATTTGGAAGAACAAAAAAAAAAAAAGAAAAGTGTTTTTTGGCACCTACTTAGAAGCACAAAACGGCACAAATATATTGTTGCATTTAAAGCATTGAATTTTGAAGTTTTTCTTCGGGTGGAATAAAAAGTGTAAGTAGCTATTACTTTATTTTTTAGAGCTGACTTTAAATGCACTGTTTAAACTCAATTCGTACACTTTTTGAAAGTAGTTATGTAAATTTTATTCTCTTTAAGTATTTAGTTAGCATATAAGTATGAGACCCTCACGAAAGAAAACTCTCTTGACGTATTAACAAAGAATGGCTAAAAAGAGTTCGGCGAGCGAAGTTTCGACAAATTTATGATTTACCCTGGTTGTCACGTCTCTCGGGAGTACCAGACCTGCAACTAATTATAGCACTCCCAACTTTAGCCAGCTAAGCCACCCCCAATCTCAGAAGTTCTACTTAGCCATTTACTTTCATTGAACTGATAGACCTGCAGATACTTTGTGGAATTGTAGACTGGTCACTTCTCGTGGCGCAAACATTTGACTATGATCGGTATTCGTGACAACCCCGTTTGCCCTTCCTGTCTTGAAAAGCATGAGACAACGAAACACGTTTTGCCTATTTGCCCAGCCTTTGCACGGATAAGGTGTGAGGCTCTTGGCGGCAGTGCTTTGAGGAATTTACTTCTCAGTTGCCCACTCAGCGCAAAGTAGTACTTGTTGGCAACAGTGATTCGGCGTTGAATTTCGAGGACGGAATTATTTTTGTTGTTGTTGTTGTAGCGGCTACCAAGCCCCGCTCGGATCGATTCATCCATCAACGTTGTCGTCTGTTTCAGCTAAGGGGAGGCCCAAGGAAGTGCGCAACTTCAACAGCATCTGTCCATAGGGACAAGGGCGTTAGCTGGGTGGGGTTATGGGGGCATGCGAAGAGGTGCCGTGAGTCGTGTGGTGATTCTCCGCATGCTGGGCATATCTTCGTTTATTCTGCTGAGGTATGAGTTTATTGTCGGTATGGAATTATTGTCGGTGCTAACTATGGTACCCAAATAAACGATGTCGTCTTTTTCTGTAAACTTCTAACTGTTAATATTGATGCGGGTGCCGAGACGTTTGTCTGAATATAGGAAATACTTCATATGGGGTGTTGCACCTCCCATATAAACTGAATTTTTCAAAGTAGTTGGAAAATAATTTGAACAGGGTTACCAGCTGTTTAAAGAGTTGAATTCAAATTATTTTATATGTTAAATTAATCTTTGCAATATGGATATACATCGAAATGGTTTTGAAAAGGCTTAATATTTAAACCACATGTAAGAAGGTTGCTACCTCTTTAAAAAGGTCAAATTCAATGGGTGTGAAACGACAGAGGCATAAGAATATTGTAGTTTGAAAAAAATTTGAACAGGGTTGTCAGCTGTTTGAAAAGTTGAATCCAATTAAATTATACACGAGTGCAAATGTGCAAACAAAAGGGTACTAAGAAATTTTTAGTTTGAAATTTTAGATTTTTTTTAGGTGTTTGAAGAGCGTTGCCACCAAATTAAATAATAAGTTAAATGGATTACTACAATATGGGTCTCAACCGAAATAATTTAAAAAAGGCTTTATTGCTTAACTAAATGGAAAAGGGTTACCACCTGATTGAAAGAGTCAATTCCACATGAATTCAGGAAATTAGGTAATTAAAATATGTATCACGATATGAGTATCAGACGAAAGAAGTTTAAGAAGGTTTTAGTGTAAAAAAATTTGAAGAGGGCTAAAAAAGATAAAAATATTTAAATCTCTTATTTTTTGGCTGAGTTTAATTATGTTGAGTTTAATAGAAATAAATTACACCTAATATAATACGCAGCTATTTCGTATATTTAGCGAGGCGAGTGAGGACACACTAGTACTTTATAAGGAAGAAACTACGTGAAAATTCTGTTTAAAAAGTTTGAAATTTCTATGAAAATTTTTAAATTTACCAAATGTATACAAAAAAATCACAAACCTTCTGGTCTGCTCTGTATGTTAAAAAAAAAATAGAGTTATCGATATCTTTATATTAATTTTAATATATTTTAATTTTAATACAGCTATAATACAACTCCAATGTAATAAATTCTGTGCAAATATTTCTCCTCTATCTGTCACCAAGAATCTTTAAACAGCTTGTTATGTATCCCTTCGTATTAATAACGAATAAAATACTGATTAATATGTTGGCTTTGTTGACAATTTTTATGTCGTGTTGTCGTAGCAAAAGTCGCAATACATGTTGCGAAGCATTGCTCTGCCTGCAACGACGTGGATATACATATATGTATGTACATATATGTATACAGGTCACTCTGACCAATACAGAAGGACTTGTGTACGATGTGTTGACAATTTAAAATGTGAATTAAATTTAAATATTTAAAAATGCAATTACCACATACAAATTAACATGTCAGCAGTTTTGCCGCCCGGCGCACGCAACAAATGAACGAAATGATGCAAGGAGTTGTCGCCAATGCAAATGTTCGCTTGTTATGGTGCTGCATACTACAAATGATACGAGTACATATGGACATATGTATACTCAAAAGAATGTTTTTGCCCGAAAAGTCAAAGGATAGTGTGCAATGTGCATTTGTATTTGATTGTAAGTATGTACATTAGGGCGTACCACCAAAAAAGTTTATTATAGTCTAAGATCTTCGCCAAAATATTTCGAAAAAATATTTAGGTTTATGTGAGCTAGACCGATTTGTAAATAATTCCAAAAGCCTTATTATTTTGATTCCGTTGATAAAAATTTAAAATTTGTGTTTTTTTAGAAATAAATATAAAAAAGCAGTTTCATTCATAAAAAACTCCTTTTTCTGAGGTATTTATAAATAGGCACAGCTTACATAGATCTTAATACTTTAGCGAATTATTTTAGCGGATGTGTTAAAATATAATACATTTCATATTTGCAGTGGAAAAACATAACCAATTTTTTTTTTTTGTATGGAGAGTGAAGCACCCTAATGTACATAAATATACATATACATGTGCACATTAAACCATAACAGAAAAACTCTGAATCAAGGTATTTTTGCTATAAAACTTCGAAAAATAAAATTTTTTTTTGCCGAAAGTAGGGGTCAGTAAAATAAAGCTCTCCAAAAAACAATACACTTTTGTTAAGAAAGCGCTTGGATTATACGTGTAGAACTATTTTAAAAAAATTTGTTGATTGACGAATGTAGGTTCTGCCAAAAACATGTAGGTTCTGCAAAAAAATTTTTTTTTTCGAAATTACCGTTCAAAAATATTTTTGCCTGAGGGGTATATGGTAAACTGTTTTTCTGGTTCGGCCTAATGTACATTACAGTTGTAACTATTGTTTTTGCAACACTCTTGGCCTGCTCTATTGCCTGGTGTCCTGCATTTCCTGTTGTTACGACTTTCGCTGCCGCCGCTGCTGCCGCTGCTGCCTTTGCTGTGTAACCAGATTGTTTGGTATGCTATTTTAATTTTCATTGCATTCATTGCTGTCACAAACGCCTGTGCTAGCTGCAACAGCTACACGGATATGAGTGTAGAGCAAGAGAATGTGTAAAGTGAAGCAAAGCAATGTTGGAAGAAAAAATTAAAATAGTAAATGAAATTCTACTACGTCCAGTGAAAGTGCGAAATTGTTTTTTGCATAACAAAATTATGCTTGCCTTTATGAGTTTATTTTTACGTATTTGGGTATATGCGCATTGTATAGTGCACATCCGAACTATAGGACACTCACACATTTACAAGTTTTGACTATTTACTTTATTATTTTTTAAACTAAATTATTTTCTTATAAAAAATAAAGTTTATACTTTAACAAAATTTGTATAAATTCGAGTTTCCATCTTTGTGCAATTAAAAAAAAATTAACAACCTTTTATAAAAAATTCGAGCTTTTTAAATAAAATTCTTTAATATATTTGGAATATGCAGCTTTATAGTTCATTCAATTTTAGTTTAAAAAGTGCAATTTTGGAGCAGGTGGCACTTATCGTTGATTTTTTTGACGATGTCAATCATTTTCTCCATACGAAGTAACTATCTACATATATATATAATCTATATATATAATACGCGAAGGAATTTTTTATTCAGGATAAAAGATCTGCACCTGGAGATGTGCAAACCGGTTTTATATTTTCGAACATAGTTGCCACCTGTAGAACAATTGTATTCAAATTATTTAATAAGCAATGCCATAATAACGGCAAATTAAAAGGCTTGGACTGCTGATATGCAATAAGGTTTTACTTTTTTGAAAAAAAATACATATTACAAAATAGGTACCAATGGAAATGGTTTTGAAAATCTTTCATTTTTAACTTTACTTTAGGAGGGTTGCCAATTGTTTAAAAAATGAAATTAAATAGGAATCAAATGTTCCAACATATGGCTGCCAAACAAAAGGGGGCTCAGAAAGTAGCAGTTTGAAAATATTTCGAAGTGGGTTGCCAACTGCTTGAAATGTCAAATTTAGTTAACTTATCCAAAAGTCTTATGAAATGTCAAAATTTGGATGTCAAACGAAAGAGTTAACAAGTCTTTAGTTTAAACATTAAGAATATTTTGAGATGTTGGAAGAGGGTTTCCACCTGTCTAAAAATTTATTTCAAATTACCAAATGAATTTTTAAGATATGGGTATCAATCGAATGGGTTTGAGAAATCTTTATTTCTGAACTATATTTAGCGGCGTCGCCACATGTTTTAAAAATAAAATTCAACTTAATTCAATTACAAAGTTTCATTTTCAGTACAAAGTAAAAAAATACAAAAACAACTCAAATTGAACAAGTTGCAACAATGAATATGTAAACATAAATACGAAAATTTTTAAACGACAATTCTGGCCGTAAGTTTTAACCAATTTTGAAACCATAAAAGTTCTCTTTATCAACAGAAAATTTTTTTTCCAAATTTGTTATCTTTTGAAATTGGTTCGGAAGAATCGCTAAACGAACGGGGAATAAATTTA